TCTTTGACGCATCCTTGGGACGTTCCGTTGTCCCTTGATCGACGTCCTGTGCCCAATTGGAACGATCCTTCGTTCCACTTTCACACTTCCTTGCTATTAAGGAGCTATCCGTTGCTCCCTCCTCTTGTCCCTTCTCGTCTTCCGGTCCCCTCGTAGAGACTTCCTCTTCTCCTTCGTTTCTTGAGCCAGTCCGTTCCGTTAGGCTGCTCGTTCCAATTACTACATCCGCATTTTCAGTCGTCACGCTCGCAACGGGAACGTTCCGAGCGTTTACGTTAGTATTCACACCAACCTCGGGAGCCCTCTCAGGTCCACCAAATCCACTTAGCTGTGAACCTTCATCTCCTTTTGTGTCGCCAACCTGGCAAGAGGAAAGAGCGACACTTCTTTCCCCTCCCTCTTGCCCCCTTCATTGTCGGGACATTCCAGTCGGTGTGGCCGAACCTCGAGCAGTCATCGTTCCACTTGCTACGGCAATCCTCGAGAGACTACGTAGTTTCTCGATCTCGGGACAGATGGTCACGCCATGACCCGGCTGTCGACAGAAGAAACACTTCGCAGTCCGACGATCTCCAAATCGATTTCCACTCGTTCTCCTAGGCAAGCTATACTCCATGGAGTAGTGACCAAATTGATGACAGCGATTACACAGGCTCCTCGCACGAGGACACGTCTCTCGACCACACCCTTTTCGTTCGCAGCGTCCGCACACCACTTCACCTTCTGCAGTACGAGTATCGGGACCCATACGGATGTTGGGAGGCCCCTGTTCAGCACTCACTCCGCCGTTAGAAGGACTAGTCGGTTTCGGATCGTTCAAAGTCACTGCGCCTATGTGTCCATCGCTCGTTCCAGAATGTTTTTGCACGTTCCGAATTAGCAGTTGCAACTCTTGAAGTACCTGTAACTCTGTCGAGGGTACATTCATCGTGCCCAGAGGTTTCATTCCATCCTCGGGAAATTCATCGTCTTCTTCGATAGGCAGGTGAAGATTCTTGAACAACAGGATACGACAGGCTTGCTCAATAGACCCAATCATGTTACCGTTCAGCACCTCTCGCATCTGCCTGTTCCTTATTCCCTCAAGGAAGAACTCGTACCTCATGCGGGGTTCGGGTAAGTTCAGCGCGTCGCATATTGTCTCGAGTCGATCACCCCATTCTTCGGCCGACTCGCCTCGTTTCCTTGCAGCCGTCTTAAGGCGGGTCCAGGTTTGGGCCGGAGTCAGGCAAACGAGCCGGTTGTGAAATCTGGAGCGAAGCGACTCAAAGTTATGGATTCACGAGTTGTATTACCATTCTTGTCCCTTTTTTTCCCTTCAGGCACTGTTCGAACGCCGTCAAGCGCAGCTGATCGTCCATGCCCATCGTACACTTCTCGAACGAACGCCAAAACGCCGCAGCTCGTTCACTCGAGGCCGTGTCCGAATAAAATGGAGCGACCACTCTGACTGCGTTCCTCAATTCGTTCGGGATTCCCACCATCGGAGCAAGCCCTCGACCATAGTCATGCGGCTCACGTCCCGCATATTGGGCCATGGGAGCAGTTGGGTGAGGCGTCGCATATCTCGAATATCGGTCTTTGTCAAACCCCACGTTTCCACTGAGTCTCGGGTCTCCTTCGTGACTTTGGAAAGATCTTTCGTCGGTCGGCTTCGTTCCCCAATTCAGCGTTCTCTCCGGTCTCGTCCCGGCCTGCATTAAAGGCGAAGTCATAGGCGTGGACGGGTAAGTAGGAGGCATTTCAATCGGGTTCCAACCCGGCGGTAACATCGGACCAAACGGATTCGAGGACGAATATTGTCTCGGCGAGCCATACGCTCCACTTCCTTCGTACGTTCGGGGTGCTCGGTCGGATACCTTCTCGCATGAAGGGTTGGAGACGATGGCCCCCCTGTTCGAGCTTCAGGGGTTGATCGAGGCATGGTCCCTCCCCTCCCGGGACTACGGGTTCCGCTCCTCGGGGACTCCATTAGCCGATTCAACTCGTTCATTGAGTATCGAGGCGAGGCCTCCACCGTTCTTGACCCTTGGTCCCTAGACTGGGAGCGTTGCCTACCTATAGATCCACTGGACATAGCAATCTGTTGCATTGCCTGGCCGATAGTGTTGACGATAAAGGCTTGCAGAGCCGGGTCTACCTTCGCCGTCCCTTCACTCGTAGGCGTCGCTCCGTCCCTTGCAGGGATCGTTCCACGACTCGTAAGCGTCGTTCCTCGGTTCACCGGAGTCGCGTTTGGACTAGCAGGTGTCGTTCCACGGCGTACCGTCGTGGTAGGAGCTTGCAAAGTCGCACTTGACGCCCAGTGACGTTCCACTCCGCTCAACGGTTCAGCTTGAAAGTCAGTCGTACTTCGAAAGCGCGACCAAGATGCAGGAACGTCGCTCTCATATAGTCCTCCGACATCCTCCTCCTGCGAGTACTCAGCTGTCGTCGTCGAGGGCGCCTCCCGCCCAGTCTCGTCCACGTGAGTTAGCGACGGTCGGGACGGATCCAGCGAGAACGACACTCCCCTTCGCGTTCCAGAACCCGCCGTCTCGGTCTCTCTTGCCTCTCGTGACCGCGCCTGCTCCTCTCTGGGGGTCGGTCGATCTGCTAGAGTCCCGAGGAACGCTTGGAAGCTGGCTCTGCCCTGGGGTGTCCCCAACATCGTCATGAACATTCTTTGGTTCTCCTCGGCTCGTGGTGACGCCACAAACAAGCTTTCGTCGTCCTCCTGGGCCGCTCGCTCTCTCAGCCCTTCTACTGCTCGTTCCGTTCGGACCTCAGCCGTCTCTCCGGATTCACCATGCGTTCGGGGATCCACTTCGCCGCCTTCGCCTTCCGTAGCTGGGGCGTAAGCGATCTGGTCCTCGTCAGCATCCGCCAGTATCCGTGCGAGGCGCTGCTCTTCGTCCTCTATTGGATTGTTCCAGTTTAGGGAGCTCATCTCGTCCCGGCTCCCTTGCACCTTCGCCCGAGTACTTCGACGCTAAGGTCTTCCAAGCGGCTATCTCCGCTTCTTCTCTATTACGTCCCTACGAAAATTGACTAGAAGATACCCTGCTTCTCCACCAAATTGTCGCGGTCTCCTTCTCTTGTCGGGGTCGTGTAACTTGTGAAAGCCGACGTAGGAACTTAGACGTATTAGATGTGTAAAATATACTTGTTTCTTATTCGTTTTTCTTGAGCACTTCTCGTAAAAGAAGGAAATTCACGACTGAGAGCTCCCTCACTAGCTCTCTACATTGCCAAAGTACCTCCTACCAGCACCAGTACCTCTAGTTGTCGTTCGTAAACGGAGTCAGCGTACCACTGTCTGAACTCCTTCGTTCCATTTTAGACTAGGGACGAGGTAGTCGGCGACGGGGAACGAGACTGATCGGGCCTGACACTCTTCTTACGCCGCTCGCTAAATTGCCGTAGGCAGTCGTCCAGAATAGCGAGTCCTTCCTCTAGCCGAAGACCGTGACATATAGCTTGTTCGAGGAAGTAAATTTGGGCTCAACAATGGAGTACTAAGTATGCATTTTTTGTCGGCTTCGTGCCAAACGTAATAGTCCTCACCTTGTCTACCATTGTTTTCGCGCAGTGACATCTCGGCCAGCTAATTAATACAAAAAATAGTTATTGTTTTCCCAGTTTCCTACCTGAAACTTTAATGCGACCTAGACTAAACACACATGACAGGAAAAACAATGTATGCATACTTGTCACACATCAATACACGCTGAATGCCAAACGACCCAGTGTCGCACGTGTTCTGGAGCAGTAATGTATATATTTTTGTTGGTTTACTGATATTCACCGGCAATTGTAGAACATTTATTTTAGGCCTAGGCTGTATATTGCATCAACATCGAGAGTCGCTTGCCTTACATTGTGCACTCTCGGAGGGAATATTTCTGTCCTAAGTATTTAGTCCTCATTATTTTTCTTGCTTTTACTAGCGCCTACTAAGCCGCGTGGACGATTCAGCACTAAGCTCACAGTAAGCCGCGCAGTGCGCTCTTTTGTGAATTCTTTGTTTAGTATTAAAAAGTATAAAAGTTCAGCCGAATATAGAAATGGAGCTACTGTACTTTTTTGTAGAATCAATTAACCCCCATAATTTTACCTGCGAGGGTAGTAAACCTCAAGTCATCGATTCGAGATGATGATTTTATAAGGCCGTTCATTTAATTTTTATATGCATTAAAATTAAGGAACGCACCAAAGATGGGCCGAATTCATCCCTCTTGGGCTGTTCGTACTACTTGACCGTAGCATACTAGGAATATGTCGATGCAGTAAATATTAAATGCTCATCGTCTCAAGAAAATGATCTGTGAAGCAAGCTCTATTCCTTCCGACATATAACCTATTCCTGGTAGTGCTTCTGAAATGAAGTACGTACAGACCAAAATGCTTTAAGCTCGCCAAGATAAATGCGTGTCGTACAACACACAAAATTATACATTATTTAAGCTAGACAGCTTATGAAAAGAATGGTTTGCATCAGATCATCACAGGTATCAAACTATCATCACAGGTATCAAACTATGATGAAGCTTTGCCCTAATAGTCCATAATAGTTTTGCTAAATCAGTACAATCGTCGATCGCTTTACAAGGGCATTTGAAGCGGATGGCGGGAACCCGGGTTATTGTAGGCGACATTGAGCATTGGGCCAGAATCTAGAGAGGTATAAGAGGTCTACATTTAGGAAAACCTATATCGACATTTAGATATAGGGTGCAATCATGCGTTTAGATTTCGATTTTGTGGTAATTTTTAACCAATTCCCAGCCGTTTTGGAGCTACAGTCGTTTAAAAATGCCTTCTCAGAACACTGTCATTTTCGGGGGAAAGGCGCGCCAAATACGCAGATATGATTGGTCTAGAATCAAAATCATATGTCAAAAAGGAAGATGACACATCGCCCGGTCGCAGATTGCCCTTGTCGATTTAACATTCAACTCTGCCAGCAGGATGGTGAAAAATATTATAAAGGTACGTGGATTTTGTTTTGTTTTTATCATCTACTGTTCTAATTCCTTCTGAAGAGCGACGAACTGGTCCTCGATCTTCTGCACGTGTCGAAATCGAGCGAGCCAGTCAGCTGGTGTAATTTTGACTAGACCACACAGTTCCTTCCGCACTGCGTCGGCTCCACTTTTCGGTGAATCTGCCGCAATCCTATTCTTCAACAAGCCCCAAATAAGTTCGATCGGCTGCAAAGTTGGATGATAAGGCGGCGTGTAGTACAGTCGATGGTTGCAGCGTGCTGCAATGGTGTTAGCCGCGTAAAATTCCTTCGGTTTGTTTAGTTTGGCCAAACTGAGCAGTACATCTCTGTTGGCAGCTCGGTTGTAAACCAACATGGCTGAGAAAAATATAAAAAATTAGCGATTTTCATTATTTGAAAAATAAAACTTACCGACTGTATTAAGGTGAGCTTCGAGCTAACTTCGCAGTGACTTCGTTGTAGACATTAAGTTGGTCATCCGCTTGTGATACCCGGCGCCATCCATGTGGATGTTACAGCCACCATAATTGTCCTCCAACGTCTTGCACAACTTCTCGAACCACGCTTCAAACAACTCAGAGTTTAAGTTGCCATGATAGTCCTCGGTTTCATCTTGCTTTCGCTTTTTTGACGCGTTCCAGCATTGTATAGACCCCTCTACAAACTTGGCGTAGGTTGTACGCCCCCTACTTGCTACAATACCTGCCGCAACAATAGATGCACTACCAAAACAGTCAGTAAAGTTACAAAAAGTAAAAAAAAAACATAATACCGGTCGCCTTTCCACTTTTGTTGTGTCTGTTTTCACCTTTCACATAGCGAAAACCTAGCTCACATAAACTCGTTGCATTGTACGATCAGCAAGATGGGTCCCTGTCACTTGTTGCAGATGGAGGCTAATGCGAGTAGCTGTAGTTGGTCTAACAGCTTTATTATCTCGTTCGATGAATTGACGGATGTAGGCTCGATATCCGTCAGGTCATAATCTCGCTTTCGACCTCTGTCGTTTTCACTGGGCTTTGTACAAATATAAGTCTAAAAAGGAAATGTTACAATATCAGTTATAATTGATATACCTCAAAATCAGTGTCTGGGTTATTCTTTTTCTCATTAACCACGGAGTCAACAGTGTTGGTAGGCACAACCAAGGTAATCAGAGACCAGTTGGCGTGTCCTGATGCCTTTGAAGAGGCCTTGTTCCTTCTGGCTTTTGAAATACTCGTAGCTGTTCACAATCATCCGCTTCTCTCCTGGGCAAAACTCGTGCTTGCCGGACATTTTTGCTGACCTGAAAGGATGCTTCTAACTAATTGATGAGCTCTACCGCCCTCTCAAGACACTAAGTTATACATAGCACTTTTATTTATATCAAACAGACAATTATTTGACTTTTTACAGTCTGTATAGTATGGGTTACAATTTCTGGCCCAATGCTCAATGTTGCAATACCATCGTGCCCCGTCAGCTGGGAAATTTACCGGTACAGTCACACCTCCTTATTTGAACCTCTATAACCGACCACTATCTTTTTACTTGAACGTAGTATCTCAAAGCAAACGAGACTATATCAGGTTCATTATACCAGCCCCTCTAATTGACTAAAACCCTCTCTATTCGCTAAATGACAGTCAATTCCGGAGGTAAAACTCTCTATCTGGACAGGGGAATTTCTATGGAGATCGAGGTTACGGAGATCGAGGTGTGCGTAGTCGTGCAATTGGGTAGCCATGTGTCAACGGTTGAACATCATCCCAAACGGCCTCGTTCACAAACTGTTTGATGGTGGGCGACCTCGCTGGTTGCATTAGTGAGTTATATACTAATGACTAAAAAGGACGTCTCCCTGCGTATTCCCAGGAGCGTGACGGCAGACAATCCGGGTAATACGTTAAATTCGTACTAGATTCATCCCACGGAGGGATCGACGCAGTATTTTGGCTCAGCAGGTTTGTGAAAGACATCGTAGATGGTTGTAATGGAGAAAATTGAAGTGCTGGCGGAGTGATCATAATATGACGGACCTATGGAGGAGCTGCGGGGTGATTCAGATCGACTCGCTCACTGTATGTTGGATCTCGTGCAGTTCCAGTCTTACCGTGATTTTTGTGTGTGTGTGTTTTTTTTTTTGCGTTTAGCGGTCTTCGTAGGCTTTAGAGGGGCAGGTTCGAGGGGACTAGCTCCCGCATTCTTCAGTGTGACCACGGCGTGTCAGCCAGAACCGGTGAAAATGATCGACACGAAGTTTCTTTTGGAAGTCCGAATTGATAAGCTCAATGATATCGTGCAAACATGGGGAGCCATTTGTACGTCTAAAAACTCCAGTGCAGGGCTTTACGACCTCCTTGTTCTTCACAATTTTTTCACCTTGTTTCCCAAACTCCGCAGTGGAGTCTAACGCGGTGCGACCGATAAACATAACGATGCCCGAATATTGAGGCTTTTGCAGAATATTAGAGATTACCGTGACATCCTTCTCCAGGTTAGACTTCACGTTCTGTATGCTAGCTTCACACCACGGTAGCAGCTTTTTGAAGGCTGTCAACAAGTCGCCTCGAGATGACTCTAACCACTTCTTACATTTAGAATGTGTTCCCTCAACAGGTGAGGTATCACGATAGCCAAAATGCAGATACTGATTTGTTCAACAGCGAACAAGTTTTGTCTTGTATTCCCACCATTGTAGGTCCAGATAATCTGCCATTTCAGAGCTGGCTTCGCGAATAACTTCGCATTTTGCGTCAAACTCAGCTTCGGTAGGTGCATCAACAGCGTTGTAGTAGAGCTGCATAAACTGATCTGTGGCAACGGTATTTACAAACTTGTCTTGTTTGGGCAATGGGTTTTTCACTTGAATTTGACCGAAAATTGAACGAGTCTTAGCCAATACGTTGCGATTCATGTGCCAACGACACACTAGTGACGGAACAGTAGGGAAAACAGCATCTACCGCATTCATGCATGCTAAATCACGGTCCGTAAGAATTATCGATGGGAGCGCTATGTGATAAGCTGTCATCATGTTTAGCAAATGTGTCAGTGCCTACACAAAGTCTTCTTTTTTTTCACCAGGTAACTAACATTGGGCGACAGGTAAGACAGACTTCGTGTTCGTCCTGGCGATAATGTTTAGTAAGGGAAGATCGTACTCATTGGTCTTATAAGTGCAGTCCATAATCAGCACATTTGAGTTCCACGGAAAGTACTTCATGATGCCAGGGTGCGACCAGTACAAATACAGCAAACGAGAAGTCTCTGGATGTAATTTGTAGGCGGAATAAAACTTGTTGCTGTCCAACTGCTTCAGTAGAACCTCTACGGATGTGTGTGTACGAAGCTCTTCACTACGCTCAGCGTTTTTGTAGTTAGATATGTCCTTGGCAGTGACTGAAATATCAGGGTGAGATTTACGTAACATTGCCACAGCAACTTGGGGCGAAATGCCCACAGCATTTTGAGAAGCTACGACACCCTCAGCTGTGAGCTCCTGTGAAATTAATTTCTGCATGTCACGGCGTCTGTGTCCCGGGTGAGAGCTAACGTCCTGCAAAGATGGATGGTTGTGCACCGTCGATCCATTCAGAGACACAACTTTCCATTTACCAGCGGGGTCAGATTTTGTTACCGCTTCAAGACGGATTTGCATTGTACATCCCGTCTTCCGAGTCCCTCTTTGAAGTCGCACACGATCTTCGTCGCGAAGAGCACGGTTGTTTTGCGCTCTACCATACCTATCACACTTGAAATCACGTTGCCAGATGAGCTTCAATTTGTTCTTCTTGTGGTGGCCCATGCTCACGTCGATTATTCGCTCTCTGTTCCAAGCGGGGAGAGCTGACTCAGCTTCATCGTACGAATCAAAGACTCCCTTGGGCAAAGGTGGGATCTCAAAGCTTCCTGTAGGCTCTTCTAAGGAACCCATAACAACGCGTCTGAAGTCTCCGATGAGAACAATAACAGACAGAAAAACTGGACTAATAATAACCATGTAGTAGTTCCCAAATAGGTCGGTACTACCCAATTGCACGACTACGCACACCTCGATCTCCGTAACCTCGATCTCCATAGAAATTCCCTCTGGACAGGTGACCGTCCACCAGTCATATAATCCCTCTCACTTTTAATTTACAGCTAACCCCCGTCAATATTTCTTTTATAATCCCCGCTCGCACCATAACACCGCCACACTCAGCAGACATTGGCAACTTTGAGCAGAAAAGAACAGAAACGCGATAAAGCATGTATCACAATAGCATTCAGCTGTAATGCAACGGGTACACACAAGTTGGTCCCGGTCGTGATTGGCACAGTAGAAAACCCACGCTGTTTTATTGGCGGGAGTGCTCGTGCGCTAAAAGGCAAGGCTGTTCAATTCTACAATAGCAAAAAAGCATGGATGACAGCCCGAATATTCTCCGAGTGGGTACAAAGTTTCAACTTAAAGATGGCTGTTTAAAATCGTAAGGTCATGCTGTGGATTAACAATGCCTCGAGTCACAAGATTACACGGTCATATTCAAACATCGAGGTACGCTTCCTTCCTCCTAATCTAACGTCGTCTGTCCAGCCTTTGGATCAGGGTGAGTTATATGAATCTGTGTAGTTACAGTACAATCAAGAAGATGACCCACCTGTACCTGCATCGACAACCCTTGCTTATTGCGTGGAGCTTTTAACATTTCTTTTTCAGTGCGAGGGGGACACTAAGGACCAGCAGAGCATGCTGCAATCTTTGACAAAGCTAGTGCGAACGCAAGTGGTGAAGCGTAGGCGACAGCGGACACTCGATAGTTACTTTTAGCGAGATGGCTACATGTAACCACTTCTCTATGTGACCAATTATATAAATGAAAAGACATTTTTTCCCGAGCCAATCGGGCGTCATTTATGGAGGTGTGACTGTAGTATGCAGGTATATCATGTAAGCAAAATATACATGTACATGTATTATCAAATGGTTAGCTCGACGGCCTCTGGGCCAAATTGAAAAACTGCAGGATCGAATAGAAGTGCACATACTGCGTAAACTTAGCGTAGCTTAGCGTTTGTGCGGTAGGTTCATTGCATGTGATATCGTCAACGTAGCGTGCATAAACCACGACCCACGTCAAATTGGGCTCAGTAAAATATTGCCGTGGACGCCGATGAGCACATGGAAATCCATCTTCTAAAATCCAAGTAGCACAGTGCTTTTTAAAAGCCTCAATGTCCTCGTCACCAAAGACGTGCCATGGTGCTGCCTCAGATCTGCGAGTATGCCACTCCGCAGGACCCAATTCACGAATCTTGCGCAGACGATCAACACGTGAGCCACCTATCGAAATAATGGCCCGAATTTCATACTTCGATAGGCCTTGCTGCAAGAGATGCATCACGACGCCCTCAGACTGCTGTCACTCGGAGCCACCGTAGCGGGTGTCCCAAGAACTCCAATCCTCGCGCAGTTTCGTTACTGACTCCACGCCAAGTTTTTCGACAGCTCGAAGGAATGCAGCCTCGCTTCGAGTAGGACCCTTCTTACGCTTACGCCGGGGAGCAATCGCTTGTGAACCTCCACTACGACGGCGGGTCATTCTCGCAAACCTCGCCCACTTTGGAAGTGAGTCTCCCAAACAAAAATAAATAACTCTCCAAAAGTTCGGTTTTATTTGCGGAGACCTGGGTTACCGCCAAGTGTTTCTTTTAATGAATCAGGGTTAAAGGAAGAGTTTAGGCCAAAAATTCGCCCGTGACGAATTACCTCAGCGATCTCGGATGTTGGACAAGAAGCCGGACGCTTAGCTCGCGTTGCATGAAGGGGTGGGTAGACTTTGGCTTGCAAACCGCACGCTTAGACCTGTGTATTTAAAATGTCAGATCGCTAGTTCCCAGTTGATGATGGACGCATAGCTCGCTTAATATGAATGGAAAAGGTAACCAGGCAGTCGCCGGGAGCGGTACCCAGGCCGTCACCGGTGATCGATATGACGGAAGCTTATCATGACAGGTATTAATTGAGAATTTAAAGAAAAAAAGATCGCCCGGTTGATGCTGGACGTTTAGCTCCTGTAACATGAAAATATTGGGCCTTTAATTGCAGACTTAAGTCCTTTTCACTACCGGTACATGACTGGTTTTTCCTCACATGTTGTATCACTCTACCGAATTGAACATTTACGCTTCAATCCCAATCCTCTAGTAGTCCTAATTCTGAAAATGTGTAGGTACAAGTATCTGGTAACACTTAACAATTCTATTTACTGCTAGTTTAAGCTCATACTAGTATAATCTATTTATATGGC